TGTAATGTTCAATAATACTAATTCATTTTAGAAAATTATAAATAATTTAACACATTGTTAATTTTTAATTTACCTTTATCATTATAGTTATTTGTCTATTACATTTTCCAAAATATTATATTTAAATGGTAATAGAGTAAAATTATCTTTCTATTTATACTTTTTTAAGAAGTGTGCAAAGTCGACTAATTTTGGATTGTTATTACTCCTTCCGTACATCTTTACTTGTTCATTATGCTAAAAATAATTTTTCAACAATAATTGTCCACTTTAAAAAATTAAGAGATAATTTACCCTTTTATATCTATTTTATCATTGGTATTAAATATTACTATACAATATATATTTACCAAAGCATTAAATTTAACATATTCAAAGGGTAATATAGTAAATTTATTCTATTATTTATTGTTTCTTAAGGTATATGTCAAGTTAATAGGAGACAACTATTGTTGGATAATGGGAGTATTAATTTAAAAATTCTTGATAGTTTGTTATTAATCTCTTAATAATTATTATGCACATATTTTTAAAATTTAATTATTGATGTAATTATATAATTAAAAATAGAAGACAGTTAAACTTACAAATTCTTTTTATTTCTTGATTTGACTAATTCACTTTCAACTTGAATCAATCATGTTTTAATATTGACTTTGTAAGATTGTGTTCAATTCTTTGATAGGTTTTACTACACATTTCAAGCTCAAACAAATTATATTATCAAATAATTAAGTTTTAAAAAAATATTATCTTAACTTTGAATGTCTTCTAAAGGTAACAATTACTATAATAATGGTTTTAGTAATTATAAGTATTACGAAATATTATATAAGGAAAAAAATGATACTCTAGCTAATTGGCATATTCACTGAATTGAAGTCTTAATTTTATATTCTTAAACACTTTTAGAATAATTCAAAAAGTTTATGTAACAATTAATTTTATTGGATAAAGTTTTCAAAACTATAATCAATAAAAGAGATTTAAACATTTGTTTTCTTATGTAACATACAATAATTTATATATGTTATTCTTTTCTTACAAAATATTACAAGAGATGTTATATTGACAATTGAAAAAGAAAAATTAATTATTAAATTATAATCGATTACCACATTTTTTTAGCATTTATAAGAATGAAATACATTTAAAAAATTAAATAAATGTAACTCTCTTTTCTAAACTTTAACTTTAAATTAACCCTTCTATTGAGTCAAACCTGCTCATAAATTTGTGTTCTGTCTTTTAAACAAAACTATGTCAAATGTTTGAAATTTGATGTATGTAGTAATCATAGACTAATCCTATTTAATTTATTACATATATTTGAAGAATTAAAAACCCGAAATAAGATAACAGTTTCACATCTTTCTAGTTTTTAATTTTTTTTTTCTTTTTCTTTTTTTTTGTGAGATGACTAAAAGATTCTTATCACATAGGAGAATAGTATTTATGTTCGAAGATCTATAACAATTCAATGACAATATTTCCATTATTCAGTATTAGTTGAAGCTAATTAACAATTACTTACATAGTGAAAATAATGAAACTTACAAATCAATTTCACTGCTAAATTAACCAGAGAAGTGCTCGCTCACTGAAGTGAAATTGTCAACCGATTATGAAACCATTCTAGTGTTACTTTAGTTGCGGTCCGAAATTATCAATTCAGATTATTCACTGATTTTGGGCTTGGAAAGATTTGAGGAGAATTTGGGGCATTGCACAAATGCCCCTTTCTAAGTTGGTATTTAATTTTTGTCTTATATTATAATTTGGGTGAGATATATTTAAATTAATTTGATAAATATCACATAGAATCCGTATCTACTTGTGATAACATAAATGTCAAATAAGGCCAAGTTAAAGAATACGTTTATTTATTATGTCTTGTATAATACTATAATTGTTATGTTGCTTGTTTTTTAAACGTTAGTCTTTAAAACTCTTTGTTACACATTATTGCTTATCATTATTATAAAAATTCTATATTTAAGAAAATTATATGTAAAATAGAAATACTAAAACTGGCAATATTAATTTTATTATTTATGTTTTATTCATTAAATAAAGTTCATAAAAGCAGGAATGGTACATTTGCCATTAAAAGAAATATAGGGAGCTAATTAAAGATAATATAATCTGTGTAAGGAATTCCTACTTGTAAAATTTATAAATATATGTGAATGTCTTTAATAAATATATATATATATATA